GCAGCAATCCGTCCATTACAGCTACGCTATTCACATAGGAGAATTTGGTTAACTAAAATACTATCCCCGCTGTAGTGTAGATGTACCCTCAGTAACCTCCCCATCACTGCCAGAAGAGCTGCTATGCCAAAGGGGGAAGAGGAGACGGCCGGGGGAAGCCAGGTACCATAACAGGAGCAGCACACGTCAGGAAGCTGTGACGCACTAAGGCTGTTTAGCAGGGAGGTCAGCCAATCCATCTAGCGCTGTCCTGACGGTTTTGCAGCCTTTAGTTTAAGAATTTGGACACCCACAAGAGCGTCTGTTCAGAGAGCTGCCTTGCAACGAGACAGGAATGGAGACCAGCTCTAATGTGTCTGTCCTGGATGGTGAGGGGAGGAGATGAGGTTTCCGCACAAATTTAACATGCAGCTGGGAGGTATTTTAGGCAGAAGAGGAAGCCAAGATGGCTCAGGGGATGGGAGCTGTTCTATTTCTTCTGATTGCTGGAGAGCTCTGAAAAGTGACTATGTGAAAACCTAGACATTTATTTGGTTCTCAGCACCACTCGGCCCATTCACAGTCTTTGTTTAATCCTGATCTGATGGTATCAAATTTGCAAATGAACTGGAGCTCAGCAGTTTCTCTTTTGAGTTTGGCCCTGAAGTTTTTTTGCTGTAAGATGGCTACCTTTACATCTGCTATTGTGTGGCCAGGGAGGTTGAAGTGCTCTCCTACAGGTTTTTGTATATTGCCATTCCTGATATCTGACTTGTGTCCATTTATCCTCTTGCGTAGTGACTGTCCAGTTTGGCCAATGTACATAGCAGAGGGGCATTGCTGGTACATGATGGCATATATAACATTGGTGGACGTGCAGGTGAATGAGCCGGTGATGTTGTAGCTGATTTGGTTAGGTCCAGTGATGGTGTTGCTGGTGTAGATATGTGGGCAGAGTTGGCATCGAGGTTTGTTGCATGGGTTGGTTCCTGAGTTAGAGTTGTTATGGTGCGGTGTGTGGTTGCTGGTGAGAATATGCTTAAGGTTGGCGGGTTGTCTGTGGGCGAGGAGTAGCCTGCCTCCCAAGGTCTGTGAAAGTGAGGGATCATTGTCCAGGATGGGTTGTAGATCACTGATGATGCATTGGAGAGGTTTAAGCTGAGGACTGTAGGTGATGGCCAGTGGAGTTCTGTTGGTTTCTTTTTTGGACCTGTCTTATAGCAGGAGGCTTCTGGGTACACGTCTGGCTCTGTTGATTTGTTTCTTTATTTCCTTGTATGGGTATCATAGTTTTGAGAATGCTTGGTGAAGATCTTGTAGGTGTTGGTCTCTGTCTGAGGGGTTGGAGCAGATGCGGTTGTACCTCAGCGCTTGGCTGTAGACGATGGATCGTGTGGTGTGTCCGGGGTGGAAGCTGGAGGCATGAAGGTAGGCGTATTCTCAAATTATTACTTTAATTATTACCTCTCCAAGGAGAGTTGTGGCACAAGTGGTGTAAACAGGATAAAGAACAAACCCATTTGCAGGACGATGAGAACATGGGCAGTGAAGAACACCTAGAAAACATTTTTCAAGAAATCAAGCAGGTAAATTCACCAGTGTCAACATCCAAAGAAATACTAAGGACAAATTATTACCTCTCCAAGGAGAGTTGTGGCACAAATGGTGTAAAAAGGATAAAGAACGAACCCATTTGCAGGACGATGAGAACATGGGCATTGACTCTGATCAATATTTTTGGAGAGAATCCTTCTGAAATGCGAGATATCCTACAGATCGCTGTCCAGGCATTTCTGAGGATGAAGCAAGTAAATCTCTCCCCAAGCTGTTTGTGCACCAAAATGTTGGAGACATAACTGGAAATGAAAAGAATCTGGAAGGACGAAGACGCCTTCAGGAAAAATTAGATGAAATGGCAGTTACTGCAGCCCAGCAAGGGTTCTGTGATGTTACCTGCTTTAGTGATGTTATCCAATTTGATGTGAATACCCACATTCATTACTTTCCTCACCTCTGGGAAGGAAATCCACCGATGGCACCTCCAAAACCCAGTTACAGTCAAAGAGTGCGGGAACTAAAGAGGGAGATTCTCATGGCTGCCAAAGAAAAATCTGAACATAGTTTTCTAAAACTGTCAGAATTAAAAACATGACCTCAGGACCTGGGGGAGGCTTTGTTAAATGAGAATTTTGTATTCAGCTTTAAAAATACACAAGAGATTATTGTATACAGCAGACTGGAAAACAACTATAACAAATGGACCTGGGAACTGATTCAATGGAAAAAAAATATTAAAACAAAAATGAACTTTTTCAGACTAGAACTGATTGACAAAATTTGTCAAAAGGGTCAAGAACCTATCAATCTAAAGAATTGTCAAAGTAGTTTTGAACAAAGGAAATCAACTTATAAAGATGAGTTGCTTAGAAAAAGCAAGGAGTTGGCCCGACATTTCAGAGATAAGGAATTGAGTGAAAGTGAGCTTAGCGATCGCTTTATCAGAATGTGGAATGAATGGGTGATTGAGGTGTCCTCTGCTGCCCCTCGTGTTGAGGAGCCCAATTTTAATGCTGATCTGGAGATTTTCCTTTACAATCATTTTAGATCAGAACACAATATAAGAAACAGGATTATAACATCCTCTGAATGGACTCATTTTCCTCTGAACCCTTCTGAGCACATCTCAATGAAGAGGCAATGGTATATACTGAAGATGAAAACTACTAAAGAATGTGATGTTGAGAATTTAAAGACAATGGCAGCACACCTAGAGCATCATGTCTATGAATACATTGAGAACAAAGCGAGCGAGATAATGAATTACACTTCCAGTTACTTTCATGAAATAGTGGAGTTAATAAGCAAAGAGTTGGAATCGGATTCAGAGGATGACAATTTTACATTAACACGCTCATACAAAGTGGATGTCTCTCTATGTTTATGCCAAATGGCCACAAGAAAGTTTAGCGAGACATTCAAAGCATTCCAGAAATCAGATGATCCAGTCCAGTATCTTGAAAGTAAGAGAGAGGGATTCTTTACCTCTTTTAAAATCGCCTGCCAAGGGGCAACATCCATCACAACTTTTGCTGATATTTTATGCAGCAATCTTAAATCTGCTATCTGCCATGCAGTCTATGACAAGACTGCCATTGACATAGCAAGTGAGATGAGGTCAGACTATCCAGCCTTCAATGGCAATAGAAGCAAACTGGAACCGTTCATGCTGGGCTGTCTTTTAAAGCAGGAAGATTTTGAAAAATATCAACAGTATATAGGGTGACCAGACGTCCCGATTTTATCGGGACTGTCCCGATATTTACTTGTTTGTCCT